GTCCCATCATCCCCATTTGCAAGTCACCAACGGCATTTGCTGGTGCAGTCGTTGCGGGGGATGGACTATTCGGGCCCGCAGTATATTAAAGTCAGTCTGTGCGCCTCCCACAGAAGGGGGGAGGAAAGCAATTCAGATGTTAGCGCAAGGACGTTTACCTCCAGGCCTAAAAGCCTGGCCCATCTTCGAGGTGCTGCACTAGGTGCAGCTCACAGGACGCCCGCGCGCGGCGGGACTCTGTCTTTCCAGGGGGAGTGCGCTCGGAGGGCGCAGAACCCCCCGCCAGTCATATGCAGCGGACGACTACGAGGAGTTCGACCTGAGAGGGTGTATCAACGGACTTCAGAGGCTGGCCCTCCGCTCGGCAGCAGAGATCAGAGGTATGAACCTCATGACCTCGGATTTCTTCCTCATGCCATTCAACAGTTGGGCGTTTCGGAAGTCGATGGCAGCGGGGCAGAACTACGGGAACCAGGTCAGGGAAAAGGGCACGGGGTACAAGATGGGACCGCCAGGCATCCACACGGGGATGGTGCTCATGGAAGGCATCCAAGAGTTGGTGTCGGACTGGCAACAGGAAGATCAAAGAGCAGTACCAGCATCAATAGATCGAGCAATGGACACCCTGAACGACTTCCGGAAGCTGATGGAGGACAACAGGGAGCACAGCCAGGCAATGATCACAGAGACGATCAAGATGTGCAAGGTCAAGCGAGAGCTACAAAGCGCGCAACAACAAGAACAGGAACCCGAACGAGGACAAGCAGGAGTTCTGGGAAGAGGGCCCGGGCAATATCCAGGTCGGCATCAACGGATCACCCAACTTCAGAGCGGTGCTCACGAAGGACACGAAGAAAGACACCATGGCGAAGCTGGACCAATTCGCAAGCCACAACCTGAAGATCGCGATGGGGATGCTGATCGTCTACGTGGGAGGCAAGAAGTCCCAGTCGGCAGCACCCAAGTCGGAGCTGGAGAGGATGGAGCGGGAACTTCAGCGTCGGCGCCGCTGAAGACGGAGGAGGTGGTGGCATTAGCGAGGTATTCTCGGAGTGCTGCACCACAGAGGTCAGAAGGGGTAGTTGCATTACCGAGGGTTTCTCGGAGTGCAAAGACCCCAGGGCAGAGTGCCAGGCCGCGGCTGACGCGGACAAACACGTACACTGCACCTCCGACGGCGTCAGCATCATGCAATGAGGGTGCCGCCTCAGGGGAGCCCCCTAGGGCACTTGGGCATAGCTGGCGTGCCCAACAGTGCACAGACGAAGAGGAAGAGATACCTTTCGGATGATGAAAGAAGAGCATAATCAATCAGCATGGACGTTGAGCGCCTCACCAAACTCAGACGTGTTGCCCTTCATGGTAGGGTATACGAAATGGCCCTGAAGTTCCGAGCAGAACGGGAAGCTGAGTTACAGAGACACGCCCTGGGGAAAGGCCTCCCTGGCAACAACCAGCCCACCCACCCCAATCAGTAAACGACGTCATCTACCATGACGACACGATACGATTATTCCTCCCTCTTTCCATTACAGATACGGAAATATGGTGGGCGGGGTACTGCGCATACTGTACACCATACGCGCACGGTAAAAACGGGTTACGGCCAATGGGGGGAGATGAGACCACCATACGAGGTACTACGAGCTTAACGGGGCAGCTGGGAATACGCTACCATCTCCATCGTTCATACTCGGTCGCCACAGCTGTACTGCCTCAGCGCTGGCCTAGGTGCGCCGTGTGGCGCAATAGCGGGGTCTTTCGGAGCATGCCACACGAGGTGGCCATGCCTTCACGGGCAACAGCCAGCTTTGGCCCTCCGGGCGTTGCAACGAGGGGTGCCAGTACTACAAGATGGTCGAGAGCCACAGGGAGCACACAAGAAACGAACCAGGTCATAAAACATATCAAGGAGGCAAAGGCAGTGATTGGAAAAGAGTGTGTATCGACTGTGCGCTGGAGCTGGAGGAGTGGGAAGATTGGAGCGATGAGGGAAAAACGCTGCATGGAGGAGACACATAGATTCCGAGAGAACAACCCTGCCGAGAGCAAAGGAGGACAGCAAAAGGAGCCGTGTGGGCAGCCCAGGCACAAGGACATATCAGAGCAGAACAAGCACTACTGGCGGAAGATGAAGGGCCAAAAAAATCATCTCGCACACAAAGGAACCAGATGACCATCGAGAGGCCAAAGGAGATGGCAAAGGCGCTGCTGGAGGAAGTCGAAATGAATGGAGATAGAGTTACAGCCTTTAACAAATCATGATAAACCATGACAGAGGCTGCGCTGCACAGAGGAATACGACATCCTACTCAACAAGTGCATGGCAATGGACGTCAATGACGAACATGCGCTGAAGGCGGCAAAACAAGAATTGGAGGAGAAAGAGAAAGGGCTGCACGAGTTGGGCGACTAAAAAGCGGCGAAGAACAAGGAGGAGAAGCAGCTAGAGCTCCTTAAGGCGCTGGACTTCGTGGACAAGTGGAGCGACAACATGCAGTTGTTCAACGTATGCAGGAAGGGCACAGGATGGGACGAGAAGAGGGGAGGAGCATGCTCGTGCGGGCTCGCCTTCCCAAACAAGCTGTGGTGGAGAGGCCCCAGCCCCAACTCGAGAGGGGACAAGTGGCATGGTGCAAAGTAGACTGATTACAGCTCGTCAAAGCGCAGGAGAGCCACCCAGAGGACGTGCTCATGAAGAAGTGGGTGGACAACATGAGGGAAACGCTCGGTGTCGACTGCGAGGGGTGGCCAAAGATTGGGTGCGGATGTAAGTTCCTCCCGCTCAAGAGTGGGGCGTCGATGGTGGTGGAGCTCAAGATGGGAAACACATGGGAAGCGCTCGTTGCAGAAAGGCTACCGCAGGAGCTAAACGACGCCATCAAGGAGTGTCACGACCAGTTATTTGACGCTGCCCAGAAGATAAGCCCAGAGGAGCTTTTCGAGCTGATCCCCGTGTCTTTCCCGATGACGCACAAGATCGGAAGTTGCGACCTCATCGCAAGGTACCCTGTCGACGCATGGGAAAGGTCAGGGAGGAAGGCCTTTACTGTACAAGAGCTGGTGCGAGCTGGTGCTGAAGATAGCAAAGAACGACGAAAATAACCTCCACAAAGTAATGAAGGTCGTCATAGAAGGAGCTGGACGACGAGGACACCCTCGACCCAGAGGAAGTGAAGAGGCTGAAGGAACGCCAGAAACTACGAGACAGCACACAGACCATGCTGGATGGCACCGGGATCTTCGCGGCAAACTTCGGCTACCCCAAGTCGGAGGAGACGACTACGGCCAGATCCTCCAGCGGCCACCAGTGAACGCACCCACTGGAGCCTGCTGATGTGCCAAGGGAAGCACTAGCGAGATTTTCTCGGAGTGCTACTCTAAGCAAGCTGCATGCTGGACGTGCCCACAGGCAGTCACGAGAAGCCTTAGCGAAGTTTCTCGGAGTGCAACTCAGGACAGACAGGATGGGCATCACGGGGCGCTCGCACCATCATCGCGCTGGGAAGTATTTTTTGAGTACCGACAGGTACACTACTGCAGGGTGTCGAAGGAGAAGCAAATGATCAACAAGAAGCCCAATGGCCCTACCATCTACCGTGACTGCCAGTATGCTCTACCCCACATACTCTTCGAGGGGGGTCGGTGGGATACTACCACAGGGTATCAAAGTACAGATGCGACAATACTTGGGGCATCTTTCGGACAGACCGAGAAGTGAGCCGAGCGGGAGCGGGGAGCACGGAATTAAAACAGTAGAATAAGCAGCCCCCCCAGCAACGGGGTCACGGGCCTTCCGTCCCTCCCCTCCTCCTTTTGAGGTCGTGTCGTCGTCCCCTCCCCCCTGGCTTGGGCGCTCTGCTAAGCCCGCGCGTCCCCGTCCCCCCAGGGCACGCGGAAGGGCCAGCAGCCGCTCCCCCCGCACTGACCCGCAGGGACTCGTGATGTAAGGTCGCGAGCCTCTCTTACGGGGCCACCTCGGAGCTCGGTCCTTGAGCTACGTGGTATGTCCCCTGCCGGCCCTAGTGAGAAGGCAGGGCTGTAGCACAACCAATCGCAGGGAATTTTGACAGTAGTGCGTAAGACACCCGAATCGGCGCTTTGACGTTGCACTCACTTACGCGGATGTCCTTGTCCTTGTCCTCCTCCTCCTCCTCCTCCTCACCCTCCAGCTCCTCCTCCTCCTCCTCCTCCTTCTCCTTCTTCTCAACCACTTCCTCCTCCTTTTCCTCCTCCTCCACCTCCTCCTCCTCCTTCTCCTCCTCCCCCCTCCCCCTCCTCCTCCTCCTCCTCCCCCTCCTCCTCCTCCTTCTACTCCTCCTCCTCCATCTACGCCTCATCCTCCTGCTCCATTTCCTCTCCTCCTCCTCCTCCTCTTCCTCCTCCTCCTACTCCTCTCCTTCTACTCCTCTTCCTCCTCCTCCTCCTCCTCCTCCTCCTCCTCCTCCCTATCCTCCTCCTCCTGCCTAACCGCATCCTCCCTCCTTGTCCAAACGGGGCCCCCCAAAGTCCCTAACCCTTCCCCAGGGCGGATACTTCATCATCCGGAATTGTTTGAGCTGACGGTCCCTGGGCCTGGCGAGGGCCCCCGGAGCCGAAGGACGGCCACCAACACCTCCTGGAGATGTTTCACGACGCGAGCATGTCTGGCTCCAGAACGCCCTGGAGCGCCTCACGTCCATTCCTGGGGGCCTGGAAATTGGCACCAACACCAACACAGGGGGTTGCCTCCACCTGGGGAAGATGAGCCTAGATTTCGGTGTTGGTGGTAATATTTCGGCCACCTTGGAAGCAAGAGTATTACCACCATCACCGAGATCGGGATCCTTTTCCCTCAGTGGAGGAACACCGCCGATATTGGTGTTGGTGTCAACCTCTAGGCCTGCGATATTCCCCGTGCATTTTTCGGTTTCGTTCGTCCTTTCTCGCAAGATGATTGAAGATGCGCCTCGATGGTCCTCGCCGAGAAGTGCACCCGTCCGAGCGATGCCTAGCCACCCTCACCGCGCGCAGCCCGCGCCTCGCGCAAGCGCGTCGAGGGCTGGGCCGAACCGAACTGGACCGAGCGCGGCGACCGACCGCCGCGCGGCAGAACCCGTATCGCGAACGCCACATGTGGACCCCCCGTCCAGGAGCGCCCAAAATCGACTCGATAAGTCGGAGCGGTGATCGAAATGAATCGGCTCGGCGGAAATCGGTAGCCAAGTCGGGAGAAGTCGAATCCGCGGGAATCGGCGGACCAAGGAGGCCTTCAATCGCGAAGTCGGAATCCATATCGGAATCCGAGATCGAATCGGATCGGAATCGGAAGACATCGAAACCGAATCGAATCGGAAGAATCGACACGAGCCCTCCCCCGCCGGCCTGCCTGAGACAACCCGTGGCCACGCGACCTCGCACCTCATGCAGGCGCGCTTGGGGCCGGAGCGGGGCGCAGGCCATCCTCGCGGCCTCGCGCGGCCACCACGGGGAGGGACCGGGGAAGGGGGGCTCTCTCGTGGGCCGCGGCTGCCTTCGCGCACCCTCGGGCGTCCTCGACGCAGGACGAGGGACGAGTCCACGACGACGGCACCGCCGAGAAACGACCGAACCGACAGCGAGGCCGAAACCTGCCAAAACCGACGGGCCGCCAGCGGGCGCAGCGACGCAGCAGCGAGGCAGCCGCCGACCGAACCGAGCCGACCGAACGCCACCGACCTCGGCGCAGCCGCCATCCGAACCGCGGGCCCCCTGGCGTCGCCGTGGCAGTGGCCGTCCCCGTGTCTAGAGACACCAACAGGTACCGATACCGCTACTCCCCAGACCTCTCCCCGGGTGCGTTCTGACCAGGATTTCGAGGCGAATCCAGCGGTGGCGACGAGGGCCTCCCAGGAGGCCCGAAACGGGGAAAGCGAGGGAAAGGTAGAAATATTGGTACCTTTTCCTCCTCTGAGTGTCCGTGATCGCGTTCCCCTCATCCAGCTTCAGGTACGAGAACTGCGCCGCCACCGCTCCCATGCTCATCAAGTTCGCACTCTGGGTGTCGAAGTACACCGAGGCGCCGGCACCCTCGGGAAGCTCGCGCGCCCTCCCCAGCAGGTTGTAGCCGTGGTAGATGGTGGAGCAGTCCAGCGTCACGAGCGGCATGCGCAGCTCCTGCAGGGGGCAGACAAACCTACCTCGCTTTGGACCACCCTCGCTTCCAAGGGATACCAAGCGATGCCACACTGCGGCCTATACTGGTCAGGCCGCTCGACGAGGAGGCGCGTGGTATGACTTGGTTTCGCCTGGAATCGAAACCGGGGTAGGTAGTTCACGCTCTGATCCTTCGCGGTCATCTGCCTGGACACCGCCAAGATGGTCTCGACCCACCCGCGAGTCTCGAACGGCAAGATCACGACCCGCATCGTCAAGGCAGGGTACTCCCGTGCTAATATCTTCGACACTCCGTGCTGCCTCTCCATGATGGCGGGGACCGCTAGCAGCACCAAGTCCCCAGGCTTGGGCTCCAGCCGGTCCTGGAAGAGAATGAGGAAAGCGTATTTGTATCCGGTCTGCCAATCAACAAATTACGATACGAACTCGTACTATAAGAAATCTTGGAGCACATTCTCTGCCGGTATTTGAAAAGCCCAAGGTGCCCCAGAGCTTGTGTGGGTCCCTGGGGCCATCGGGGGATACCAACTTTCAAAGAGGCACCTCCTGGCCAGCCGATGTTTTGTTTGATGTGCCCATTGCACGTGGCGTGCTGCGGACACCGTTCTCGTCGCCAACTCGATGAATCTCGCACGCTGCTCGGGACGATCCAGATGCCCGCTGGGAGCCCCGTGCGTTAAACCTGACGGCGCCCCGCGGCTAAAAAACCCTACCAATCTGCCTCCTAGATGCGCACCGACTGGCCTAATGTCCGACATGCGGTTTGCAGCTGCCCCGGACCCCTGACAGCCTGAGCCCTCCTCTCCACCAAGTTCCGAAGCTGTCGGCCCCGACAATCGTGTGGGATCCACAAGTGTTTTTTTGTTCGGGGGTCCCGAGACGGGCCACGGGAAGCCTGGGCTGAGAAACGCAGGCCGACCCGATGAATAACGACGAAGAGTTGTTAAACCTAGTTGAAGGGGCCGCTGAGCCTGATCAAACCATTTTACGTAAGCCCAAGACAAAACAGGATTCAGTCGTTTTCTTCCACGCATGACACCACGGGTGACACAACCACATCGTGAATGAAAAAGTCTCTAAGACAACCGGGGACAACGCAAAACACGACCCGCAATAGCCGAACTCATGCTATGGCCTGTGGCCTGAACAACAAATCGACAATGCACCTGCGACAAGGTGGGGGGGGGAAGACGAAAGAAGAGGAGAAGAAGGAGCAAGGACGGCGGAAGGCTGAAAAGGAATTGATCAACACAGCGTTGAGCCAACTTCTATGCCAGCGTGCGTACACCGCCATGGACTCTTCCACAACCTCGAACGCAATTGCAAACGGAATTGCAATACAACCGCTCGACAGCATGCGGCATCGGCCCTGAAACAGACTGAGGAGGAGGAAGAGGAGGAGGAGGAGGAGGAAAAGGAGGAAGAGAAGGAGGAGGGGGAAGGGGGGAGGAGAAGGAAAAGGAGGAAGAGGCGGCGGCGGAGGAGGAGGAGGAGGGAAAGAGGGAAAAGTGACACAAACACCTGTAGACTGGCCCGGTACCGAACCAGAGGAAGCAAGGTCGCTCGAAACCCGCGTCCAGCGGCCCGTGGGGTGAAGTGCCCAGCAGGCGCGCCTGGCGGGAGGCTGGCGCCGCAGGCCGCGCTGCTGCCAGCCGACAGCAAGGCCGCGCCTGGACCAGGCCGAAACCGACTGCGTTCACACTCGCGGACGGGGGACGGAACAGAATGAGGAACAGCATCTAAGGCACTACGCCCTCGCGGACTGCCCCGAGGGGCTGGGGATGCCAGCATTGCGCCTACACCACATCTCAGACGCCCCAAGAAAAAAACAGACTGATCAAAACGTGGCTTGATGTAAGGTTAGCACACATGCTGAACATGTGACGTCAACGAAGGCACGAACTACAAATGTGAAGACGTGAAAACAACAACGTGCGAAACCAGGCGCGACCGCAAACGAAAGTGCTAGTTCAGTGAGAGGCCGACATGCCAGTGCGACTTCGGCGAAACATAAAAAGTATTAGCGCGATCTCGGGCCAACGGCGCCCAGCGGCCCGAAAATCCCCCGGGCGCGCGGCGCCGCACGGGCTCCGAAACAAGCGGGCCGAAGCGCCCCCGATGCCGGGCGCGTCGACGGGCGCCCGCTGCGCCCGGGCGCCCGCGCGCGGACCCGCGAGGGATCATTCACATGCCGCGTTGGCTACAGTCAACCCGCGGAGCAAGGATGCACGATGGGGATGCAGGGGCCTTGGACAGCCAGGTTGACGTTTCTCGAAAGGGTACCCTAAGGGGCTGGCCCACGAAAGTTGCCAGGGATGGACCGAAGGGGCAAGGATGCAGGGGCAACCTAGGACAAGTTGCTCATCCTTACTCCGCGGGTCGACTGAAGCCAATGCGCGGGAATGAAGTGGGGGCATGCCGCCACGTTGGGGGCGGGACTTACGTCTGGCCGTTCCCTCGCGCCGGGCGCGCGGCGATCGTTCTGGAGAGAGCCCCGGAGCCCCGCGCCGCGATCTCGCGCGGGGCGTGGGGTGCGAACGACTTGCGCGAGCAGCGGCCGCCAGCGACAGTTCGTCGCGCGCTTCACGCAGAAGATCGGCGCGATGCACGGATGCACGGCGCCCGCGCCCTCGCCTCGCGCGGACTTACGGCAGGTCCGTGTCGTGCCGACTTCGGCGTTGGTTTCTGACACCGCGGGGATCGTTCAACCTTGAACGATCGGCCGTTTTCGAAACGTCCAATCGTTCCACATCGAACGATTCTGGGTCGCCCGCGGCGTTCAAAGTTGAACGCCGCTGGCGGGGTCGCCGCCGGTCGACACGACACGAACCTACCGTAAACTGTCTTGCGAGCTCCGATCAACGACGGCACTTGTCCTTATTTCGCGCCGTGCGCGAAAAACAAAATTGTCGGGAGCAACTGCGCCCTGCGCCGTCGGCCCGGGCGGGGCGCGCCAGATTTCTCTCCGCAGCGGCGACCCGTGCCCTTAACTCACGCGTGGCCGCTGAGCGCCAACGGTGTCCTTTCTCTGCGAACTGCCACCGCCACCAGCGTCCGCCGGCACTTACCACGCGCGCCGCGGGGGCGACGTCTTTCGCGGAGCGCATTGCCCCGCGTTCCTTGCTCGCGCGGAGCGCGGGCGATTCTCCTGAGCAGCGACGCCCTGCGCCCTCGCCCCGCGCGGGGCGCGATCGGTTTTCTCCGCAGCGGCGGCCTGCACCCTGCCTTTTCTTCCGCGCCGTGCCCATGTTGGTTTTTGACGGCAACGCAGAATGAAGAGCGCGTTTTGGCGAGCGGCAGTCCGCCCAGGCATCCGCGGGCACTCGCCGTGCTTGTCACGGGGACGACGCCGTTTGAGACGCGCGCGGCCCTGCGCGCGGGACGCGCGCGATTCCCCGGAGCAGCGGCGAACTGCGCCTCCAACGCGACCTGCGCCAATAGACAACGCGCGCGGAACGCGCGCTTTTTCCTAGATGCAACAACCGCCAGCAAACGCCGGCGTTTGCCCCGCGCGTCGCGGAGGGCGACGTTCTTCGCGACGCGCGCGGCCCCTCGTTCCTCTGTCGCTCGTCGTGCGAACGAGTTCTCCAGGGAGCAGCGGCGCCCCGCGCCCTCCCCCGCGCGGGGCGCGACGAATCTGATTGGCAGGGGCGGCGTGCGCCCGTCACCCGCGCAGAGCGCGAGCGATTTTGTGTTTTTGATGCAGGGCCCTTGCTGGCGTCCGCCAGCGCGTCTCCCGGGCGCCGCGGGGGCGACGCTTCGCTGCGAACGGCGCGGCCCCGCGCTCCTCTCGCGCGGGGCGCAGGCGATTTCAGTGGTGCGTTACATGTCCCGGAAACGTTCCCTCGCGCAGCGCGCACCCGATCTTCGGAGCACTCCACTTGAACACGAGACGCCCTCTCGCCAGGGGCCCAGGCTTCCATCGGCCTCGCCAGCGGGGTCGCGGCGCGGAGGAGCCCGCCCGGGCGTCGTGCGAGGGGAAAGACTCCATCGGGGCGGATCGGGGCGCGGCGGAGCCTGGCCCGCACCCGCAGCGCCCGGGCCCTGAGTGCGCTGGCATCTGGGCGCGATACCAGGAAAGCGCCCGCAGTGGCGGGACCCGCGGCCGAGGCCCCTGGGCCGCCCGCCGATTCGCGCGAGTTTGCAGCGCATCTAACAAGCAGCAGGAACCTTCAGCGCCGATTTGGAAGTCTGAAACAATCTTATAAACATGCTCGCGCGGTTTTGGGAATGCGGACTAGCATGAAAAACAAACACAACATAAACGAAGTTAAAAAACGCAAAGGCACAAGTTGAACCACGTGCGGCTTCAAGGGAAAACGATAGTACGAGTGCGCGATGTCAGAATTTGGAACAGTCGACAACCAAAACATGAACAAGCGAACAAACATTCGGAGCCGAGGGTCGCCCCAGGGCGCCCCGGCGCGCGCCGCGGCGTCGCCCGAGGACGCCCCCGCGTCGTCCGCGGGCACCCCGGGATGGCCCCGGCCCAGCGGAGGCCGCGGGGCCCTTAAGGCCTGCCTGCGCGCGCCACGCGGCCGGGAGCCGCGGGCGCGCCCGCGCTGGGGCCCTGCAGGGTTGGCCAAGCATTCCCAGGAGCGGACTCTGGACTCCTTACTCGTCATGTCTTCTAGTCTCCAGGCGCGGGCTTCCAGCGCGGGCGCTGGCGCGAGGGCACGCGCCGCGAGCCCGCGGGCGCGCGGCAAGGGCGTCGTTTCGTCAGGGGGGCGGGGGCGACCCCCGCGCGCGCGAGAAGCGTCGCGCCCGGGTCGCGACTGGGGGGCTGCCGAGGGTGCGCCGCCCCAGGCGCCCGAAGCGCAGGACCAGAGGGAAAAACGAACGCGGGAAAGGCTTCTCTGCTGCGTCGCGCCCCGATCTCTAATAATCTGGCCCGCTCCCCTGCGCGACGCCCCCGCGCGGCGCCCCCAGCGAGCCGTTGCCACGCTGCGACCGGGGTCGGGCGCAGTCGGAAATGGCCCTGCGCAGTGAAGATTCAAAAACTCGCTCGGCTGGCGCTGTTGATAGACAAGTTCGCCGCAGCACCCCATGAAACATCGCCGCGCGCGCCGCGCCCGCGCCAGTGCCCCCGCGCGCGTGCCCCCGCCGACGGATGGCCTCCGAGATCCGCGCGCAATGCCCCCGCCCCCCTGGCGCTGCGCGACGGACAAATCGCCTGCGCCGCCTACAGAATTGCCCACGGGGCCAGCGGCGCGCGGAAATCGCCCGCGCCCCGCGCGAGGAGGGGGCAGAGACAACGCATTTCGCAAGGGCCGCACCAGCTCCACGGAAGACACCAGCCGCGACAATAGCTCGCCAAAAAATCCATTGCACTCACGCATGCTTCGGGCACGGAGCGCAATTGCCCGCGCAAGTCGACTGCCTCTGCGCAACCGATCGCGACCGAAACTCGCCAAAAACAATCGCGCCCTGCGAGACGAAGCACGGCGCCCTGACAGCCGCCTGCGCGCCGCGAAGAACCAGCGGGCGTTTCTCCCTCGTCAAAAACATTCGCGCCCTGCGCGAGGCGCAAATCCAAGACGACGCCCAACTGACGCCGCCCCGCGCGCAGCGCCCACCAATGGAGCTCAAGCGCGTGAGCGCGAAAGGCAGCGATGCCCCTCTCGAGGCGCGCCGGCGACATGACGCTCGCGTTGCCTACGACTTCGCTCGCGCACCGCGCGGGGCCAATGGCTTGGGAGGAATCGCTCGCGCTCCACGTGAGGCGCTGTCCCAGGGCGCTGTAGCAGGCAGAAGTGACTCGCGCCCCGCGAGAGATGCGCGCGCCACGCGCGGCCAGGCACTCGCGCGCGCAAAACCATTGGCGGCGCCAATGGAGATCCGGGAATCACCCAAAACGGCCGCGCAACTTCCAAAAGGAAGCGCCGCAACACGGTTCCCCACCGCTTTCGTCGACACATCGCGAGCCAGAGATTCGTTCCGCGAACGCCCTGGGCCCGTAGCCAACGCGAGAACGTCCGCCGTATTTTTTTCTTTTCACAACGCCGCACCCTGAATGTCCCTGGAGGTTTGATGCCGCGATCTGTGTGGACGCTGGGCACTCGGCGTTTTCGACTCCTGCCGTGGGCCGAGAAACGGGCTCCAGGACGGGCAAGATTGTCCAACGTGGGGCCGCTCCGTTTCAGCACGCGTGGAGCTCGAAGATCTTCACGCAGAATCGACCCCGCAGACCTGGTGGCGGCCCTTTCAAATATGTCCGCGCAATCATTCCTTTCGTGACCACATGTTCCCTTCTTATATAATTCTTCCACACGTGCGTCATACTTTCCGTATTTGTCATACTTCCATTTCGTCCATACGTTCTCCATGCTTCCATCTTTTGCATAATTGTGTTACTGATCCAAATTACGCGGCAAATCACGCTCGTATGCCTGTTTTCCTTGACGTCGAACTTTTGCTATACTTCGAGTCCCCCCCGCCCAATGAACGGTGTGCCTGCTGCCTGCCTGGTACGTCTCAACACCACACGCAGGGGAGAGAAAGGAGGGGACAGGCAAAGGAGGTGAAGTGCAGGCCGAAATCAATGGGATCCGCCAGAGCTCCGCCTCCCAGAGGAAAGAGAGGAGGCGGAGGAAGGACGGAACAGGGATGAGCCCGAGTGAGCGGGTAAGAGCCGGGTCAGGCTGGTCTCCTTGACCACAGAATGATAACAGCGCCGAAAATGAATCAAACCTCCCGGGAGTTGCAAACCGAGGGAAACCACTGATTTGAGACCGCGCTGCGAGCGCGAGCGCCTCACACCGCAGCGCTGGTGACACTCCCCATCGGCGGGCCCGGCCTGCGCGCCCCCCCCCCCGGGGGGTCCAGCAGCCAGAGCAGCACCGGCCGGCCGACGATGTTGACGAGCGGCTTGGGGTACCGGAAGCCGGCCTGCGGCATCGAGGGGCGGGGGGGGAGGGAGGGGGTGCTTGAACAAGCCAGGGTCGCGCTTGCACGAGTCTCTGTCTTCAAGCATCCCTGTGGGCATCGTGCAAACGAGGGTCTCGTTTGCACGATGCCCTGGAGTAGGCGGCGGGTATCGAACGCCAGCGGGTGCCGACTTGCGGCGGCAGTGGTGGAGGAGGGAGGAGAGGAAGGACGGAGCGAAGGGGGGCATTGGGGGGGGAGGAGAAGGAAAGACGAGGGGAGGATGGGAAGAAAGAGACGGAGGGAGGGAGGTGGAAAGGGAAGGAGGGACGTGGGAAGGAGAACGGAGGGGAAAGAGGATGAGGATGAAGGGGGCAGGAGAAACGGGAGGATGAGAAAGGCGCGGAAGGAAAGGACAAGAAGGAGGGGAGTCCAGCGCCGACCGCACGTGAAGTCCGATCCGACCGTCTGGGACGGAGCCCGCTGCGCGAGGCCGCGCGCTTGGGCCGCCAGGAAGGCCAGCCAGGGACGGGGACGACCTCCAGCTCGAGTCCTGCTCGGACCGGTTTCTGCTCCAGCTCGTCGACGTCGTCGCCGCCACCGACCTCCTCCGACTTGCCATCGTCCCCCTGCTCGTCCTCATCCCTCCAAGGTGTCCTCTGCATCATCGCTGATCCTACGTCCTTACTCCTCCCATTCCCGTCCTCCTCTATCCACCTCCATTTCCTTCTCCACCTCCTCCTCTTACTATTTTCGTCCTTATTGTTTCTCGTTCTCCTCCTTCTCCTCCTCCTCCTTCTCCTCTTCCTCCTCCTCCTGGGCGCTGATGGCTGTCAACAAACGCTGCCGTCCCCCCCCAAGCGGCGAGGGATGATAAAACTACTTACTCTGCGAGTGGTAGCAACATACTCCTCCATCTCTCTCCGTTTCTCGTTATCTTGCCCCGTTTACTTCTCCTCATCCTCCTCCTCTTCCGCCTCCTCCTCCTCCTTCGCCTCTTCCTCTCTCATTATCTTCCTATTCCATCCTCTGTTCCTGCAGTGGCCAAGCTTCAGCCGTGACTGATTGCAGCCCATTTTCCTCCTCCTCTTTCTTCTCGTCGTCCTCCTCCTCCTTTTCCTCCTCCTTCTTCTCCTCCTCCTCCTTTTCATCCCCATCCTCAACCGCGTCCGCATCCTCATCTTCATCCTCATCCTCGTCCTCCTCCGCCTCCTCCCCTGGCCGTCTCGGTGCTGTTGCTGCCCCCCAACCCCTCCCCCTCCTGGTCCCCCTTCTCCTCCCCACCCCCCTTGAGGCGGCGCGCACAAAAGGGGGTAGGGAGAGGGGGGGGGGAGTGCGCGCCGCCAGCATTTCTCGATGGCCGCGGAGCGCGTCTGCCGCAACCGGAGCGTCGCGCAGAGAGAGCCACGCCGCGAACCGGCACCATGCCGACACCGTGGGCCTCCTAAGCGGCGGCCCACAAGACGAGCCCTCGCGGAGGCGGGAGCGGCTGGCAGGCGGGGCCTGCCGAGCTTCCCCTTTCGCCGCTGCACGGCGCCAGCCTTGGAGGGAGTGAGGGGAACGAGGAAGCAGAATCACGGGGGATACGGTGACCCCAATCCCAGAAGTTGGGGTGTTTTCGACTGGACCAATGACGGACGATCTGCCGCCGCGATCTCCGCTGCGGCGGTCCCGCCGGCCAACGGACGCCGCTGCCCTTGGCCTGCAACAAGCGGATGCTCCACCAGCAGTGCGCGGTCTGCCCGCCGCCGCCGCGGCTCCCGCCGAGCAGCCGTGGCGGCCCCGCGGGCGGCCGCAACAACAATAGATGCGCAGACCCTGCCACCGCCTGGCCTGCGCCGGTTGACGGCGCTGCCGCGCGCCCACAACGCCGCGCCAGGCGCGCCCGAGTAGGCTGCCCTGTCCTTGGGTGCCCTCGCGCCAACTTGGCCGCCAGTGTCGGGTGGGCAGACCACGCAGCCATTGGACAACACCTTGCGACGAACACGGCACGGGCAGGTTCACAGGCCTCCCGCCCGTCACATCGGCTTATTTGGACGAACGTAATTGTTCGCAAACCCTCGGTGTGCCAGCGCTTCTTCACGCGCGCTACGGGCGTGTGTGCCCGAGGTCCCGCCCATTTGCGCGAGCTGCGGCTGCTGACGCGGCGCCGGCCGCTGACGACAATGTCCCCTGACCGCGCAACCTGCCCACCTGGCAGGAGATCTCTCCCAGACGAGCGCTCGAGCGAGCACAAAACGCTACGTGCCCAAAGGGGCGCGCTGTTTGGCCCAGGTTGCAGCGCTCGCCGTGCACCAGGACGCAAAGGAAACTTGGCTGCAGATCGCACTGCTGCCCAAATTCTTCCTCCGCCCGCTCGCGCGCGGAGGCCCCAGCTGCAGAAACGCGGCGAAGCCTGTGATAAAGGACCTTTTGCCGGCGCTGGCTGGAGGGGGGGCGCGCCGCGCTGTGGGCAGTATCCACGGAAAGGCGGGGCAGCGCAAAGCCTTCCCGCGCGGCCCAGACAGCGCAGCGCTGTCCAGAAGCACCCGCGCAGCCAACGATGTGCGGATAATGCCAGCCTTCCCGCAGTCCACGCGGCAGCGGCGCCCCAACTGGGCGCTGCCTCGGTCGAACTCGAGGTGCGGGCCTTTCCTCGGGGGTCAGCCCCAAACCCTTCTGGTTTGCGACCGCAACACCTCAAGGACGCCGCGCTGCCGGCCGCCCACCGCGACGAGGTGCTGCATCAGATGCTGGGCCTCACCAACCTCCTCGCCAGGGGTCGCGCCCCCCTGGCGTGGCGGACGGACCACCTGGCCGGCGCCTCGTTGGTGGCTTTGCCCAAGGGGTCGGCGGCCTTCGACCAATGGCCAGGGGCAAGACCGTGCGGCGTTTGGTGGCGAACTACCTCTGCAGCCAGTGCTCAGACGCCGTCCTGGACCGACTGGCCCCTTCTGCAGGTCGGCGTCGCCCTCCTGGGCGGCTGCGACGCCGCGGTCCACGCGGACGACGGGCAGAAGGTGTTCGTCAAACTAAACTTGAGCAGCGCCTTCAACACCCTCGACCGCCAAACTCCTCTGCAGGCGGTGCACGAGGAGCTGCCCGCCTTGGCGCCGTGGGCCACCTGGTGCTACCAGGGCCCTGCCCTGCTCGGGCTGGGCCGGCACTCAATCCTTCCTGACTGCGGCGCGAAAAAAACGGGACCCTCGTGGATGCGCCGCCGAGAAGGCCCTCCCCCAACCCGCCCCCGCCGCTGAGGGCCGTAGACGCGGCCTTCTTCTTTCTCGACGACGGCGCCGTGGCCAACGACTGGCCAGCAGTGGCGCTCCTCCTCCACTTACCGGTGGAGCTGGCAGCTATGGGCCTCCGCATGAGCACGGGGCCGGAGAAGAGCGAGGTAATTAGTCCCCGCGGGCGGCGGCGACAGCGAAGTGGACCAGGGCTCCTTCCCCCCTGGCTTCCGCCTGCGCGCAGGGGGCTGCTTCGAACTCCTGGGCGCGCCAGTCGGCAACGACCTCTTCTGCCGAGCGCACACCAAGGAGCGAGTCGACAAGGCGACCGGGCTCCTCGAGGCACCACTAAGCCGCGCTCTATTCGCTGCGGCAGTGTGCCTGCTACTGCAGGCTCGCATACTCGGCGCGGGACGTCCAGCCCAACGCGCAAACGGGTGCCCTGCTTGCGCTGGACAGCGCGGTGCGGGTTTGCTTCGTCGAGCAGCTCAGCAGCAGCTCCCCTGAGGACGCTTCTTGGGCCCAGGCGCAGCTCTCCCTCAAGGCAGGCGGCCTGGGGTTGTGCTCAGCAGGGCGGCGCGCGCCAGTCGCTTACCAGGCCTCCAGCGCGGCCTGTTCCGCGTTCTGCAGGCAACTGTGGGCCAGCTGCTCCGACGACGACACGAGCGACAACGACGCGCTGGGGGCCGCCGTGCTACATCGCCCAGCTCCCACAGGCGGACGAGATAGCCTTCGAAGCTTTCCAGCAGGGCAACCAACGCGGGCTCTCCGACAAACTGGAAGCCGCCCCCAGGATTGAGCTCCAGGAGCGAGCATGCCTGGCCACCAACGCGCGCCTCTCGCTGGTGAGCGCACCCGGCGCCAGCGGCTGGCTACAGACGCGGCCCTGCGCTGCGGTCGGCGCTGGCTTCCCGCGCAGTTTGATGCAGGTCGCCCTGCAAAGGCGCCTGTGGACGTCTACGGCGACCGCGCGCTGGCGTGTCCCTGCCGCGGGGACCGCGTGAAGCAGCACAACACACTCCGCGACCAAACCTTTTCATTGCGCATGCCGCGGGCTTCACGGGCGCCGAACTCGAGCGGAAGTCCAAAAGGGCGGGCCTTCTCAAAAGGCTCGGACGTCCCCCGGCCTTCTGAGACGTGTTCTAAGCCTTCCCCAGAGATGCGAAACATCTCTCAGAGGGCGCGAGGGCTCTGAGACGGCCTCTCCTTCTTATTTACCATTTACCCCCCAAGCTCGCCGCCGATGCTGTCAACCAGACCTGCAGAGTGGGCCCCTTCCATGTTTCTGCGCACTTCAGCGCTGGCTTCGCCTTCGGCTGCCAGTGTTCTGCGAAGCGCCGTCGGGCCAGCTCACCCGAGCCTGCTCTGCGCTCACACGGTCGCCTCCCTCCCTCCCTCCCTCCCTCCTGTCAGTGCAGTTGTTTTCAGCAAAAGACCGCGCGGCAGTCCAACTGCGGGTGCGTCCCAGGGCCCTAGGACTAGGGCCAAAACAGCGGCGGGCAGCGTGCATGCCACAAAACAAGACAAGCGTGTACAACATACACACATGGTGGCACGGGCGGCAGAGGGGCAGGGGAGTGCACTCTTCACACTGGGTGAGTACAATGCTGCCCCGATGCCGCTCCCTCTGAAAGGGCAACGCTGCACGCAATTATAATGTATATCAGCCCACGGGCCGAAACACCTCAAGCAGATGCGGCCTGAGGCTCGAAATATAAATATGAATGTCTAGATTCACCAATCCAGACTGTCAACTCAAAAGATATGCATGAGACACCTCAAGCAAGGTGCGGCCTGAGGCTCAAAATATAAATA